CGCCAGCCACAGTGGTCTTTCTCAGTTTCTTCTTTCCATCACAGAAACTTTGTAGGAGTCACCACTCCCCTTTTCCTGATCTAGATCACTGTTCTTTTGCACCACTGGATAATTCCTACCCAATCTTCAGACACTAGCTCAAGTATCACTGACTCTGAAAATGTTGTACTCATACCCTAGTCTAGGGCAGCCCCATTGTTTAAAAAACTCATCATCAGTTAAGTTCTTTCCTTTCGGTGCATTGTTTTGGTTAGTAATTACACATTATTTAGTGTGATTACATGAAAAATAATTCCACGACTAGATTTTAAGTTCATGAGAACAAGGATTGTCTGTTTTGGTTCATGTGATATCCCCAAGAACAGAATTGTGCCCACCAAAAAGCAGATGCTCAATAAATTCTGAATACATAAAGAAAAGAATAATACAAAGAAGGCAGAGCACAAGTAAGAAGAGGCCTGGGAGTCAACAAAGCAAAAGTGGACGTGTGAAACAAACGAGATGACTGTTTAAAGAAGAAAGGAGTAGCTAAAGGCCTGATGTTGCATAAAAGTTGAAAGGGATGGGAAGGAACTAATGGATAGAGCAAGCATAAAATTACTGGTGACTTTGGAAAAAACAGTCTCAGCAGAATGACAGACTCAAAAGTCAGATGGCAGCAAAGCTAAAGGATAAATGGAAAGTGAGTATATAGAAGCAAGTATAGATGACTTTTTAAGAATGTGTAAATGAAAGGAGAGGAAAACAGGCTGCAGAAAGGCGCAGAGAGCTCAGTCATTGGAATATACTAATGGTGATCAAAGAAGAGGAGTTACATGCTCAAGGCTATAGTAAGAAGCAGGATAAAATGATGAAATCGGTAGTTGAAAGAGTTAGGTTAGTAAATAATCTTTTCCTGTGGTATAATCCATTTTCTTTCTGCCAAGATAATGGTGATCAGAATAATAGTTGACATATTTTGGGGGGGACTAAGTGTGATACAAGGTCCTAAGTAGTTTAACACTTCTCACTAGACTGCCCAACGTCTCTATTAGGTAACAATATCATTATCCCCATTTTACAGATGAAAGCCCTGACATGCAAGCCATATAGTGAGCAACTGACAGAACTAGAACCTGAATCCAAATTTATTTGACTTCTATGGCACACACTATTAACTGGTTAACACAATACCCACTCCTTCCTAACTCCCTTGTCGCTTGACTTATTTCAGCTACGTGTGATCACATGACCCATTTCCAGCTATTGGAACATTAACAGAAACCTGTTTGGAGCTTCTTTAGAAGATTTTCCCTTCTTTGAAATATATAAATATTAAATATGTTTTTAAAAAGGAAAAGCCTTTTAAGGTGTGTATAGAGATCTATCTATATACCTATATCTATATGTCTACATACATGCCTTTGGAGGCATATATATAACTGAGTTACACATATATATATAAGCTATCCCATCCTTCTGACTTGAATGTTACTACAAATCCTAGATCTAGGCTGCAATCTTATGACAATGACGGAGTGGCAGAGAAATTACAGAAAAGTTGAGCCACTAAACTAGTAACAGTAAACACCTACTTCTAGACTTCCTGTGATGTGAGAAAAAAAGTTCTCTATTTTTTAATTGACAGATGAAATTGCATGTATTTATCATGTACAACATGTTTTCAAGTATACATACATTGTAAAATTGTTAAATCTAGCTAATTAACAAATGTAATACCTCACATAGGTATCATTTTCATGGTGGGAACATTTAAAATCCACTCTTTGCATTTTTCAAGAGTATGTATTTATTAACTATAGTCACCATGTTGTATAATAGAGATCTAGAACTTATTTCTCCTATCTAACTGTAATTATATATTCTCCGACCAACATCTCCCCATTGTTCTCTCTCCCGTATCCACTCCAGCCTCTGGTAGCCACCAATCTGTTCTCTACTACGAGATTACTTTTTTAGATTCTACATATAAGTGAGATGCAATATTTGTTTTTCTATGCCTGGCTTATTTCATTTAACATAATGTCCTACAGATTCATCCATGTTGTCGTAAATGACAAAATTTTGTTCTTTTTTATGACTGAATAATATTTATTGTGTACATATACCATATTTCCTTCATCCATCCATCCATTGATGGACACTTAGGCTGATTATGTATCTTGGCATATTGTGAACAGTGCTGTGATAAACATAGAAGTGCAGATATCACAACTCTGAAACTACTAGAAGAAAGCATGGGGGGAACTCCATGCCACTGTTCTTGGCAATGATTTTTTGGGAAATGATCTTTAAAATTATATGCAATAAAACCAAAAATAGACAAATGGGATTAAATCAAACTAAAAAGCTCTGCACAGCAAAGGAAACAATCAACACAGTTAAGTGACAACCTATAGGATGGAAGAAAATATTTGCAAGCTATACATGTAACAAGGATTAATATCCAAAACATGTAAGGACCTCTAACAATAGCAAGAAAAATAATAACCTGATTTTTAACATGGCAAAAGATCTAAATTGACATTTCATATACAAATTGACTTGTATATGAAAAAATGCTCAATATCACTAATCATCAGGGAAATGCAAATGGAAACTACAATGAGATATCACCTCACTCCTGTTACAATGGCTGTTAACAAAAAAACAAAAGATAAGTGTTGGTGAAGACATGGAGAAAAAGGAATCTTTGCACAGGCTGGTTGTGGGAATGTAAATTAGTACAGTCATGGAAAACAGTATGAAGGTTCCTCAAAAAAGTAAAACTAGAACTATCATGTGATCCAGCAATCCCACAACTGGGTATATATCCAAAGGAAATGAAATCAGTAGGTCAAAGAGATATGTGCACTCCCCTGTTTTTTAAATTGTGCTAGTCAGATTTTCTGTGACTTACACTTGATAGTATTCCTAATGGATATAACTCCAAAGCCCATGGTCTTACCCAGCAAACAATATTGCCTCTCACCTATGAAATACAAAGACAAAGGTTTGTTTTTCTACTTCCTTTAGAGAGTTCTTAAAAAGTTCAAGTTAGTAAATGCATATACAAATATCTTCAAAAAATAAAAACCATTACACAAGTTTATTATTTTTACAACAGTGATTCTGAACTAAGTGAAAAGACAGGAGAGCACACATCCTGTCCAGACATGGAATTGGGCAGCATTCTCCTAAAAGGATACATCAGAATCACCTGGGGGAATTTTTCACATTCTAGAGATGAAAAATCACTACCAGGTGAACCACCTCTTCTAAATGAAACGATGAGTGTATCCTGCAGATATGTTCAAAGGGGAAAAAATGTTGAAAAGTAGGGTTTTGGTATGATTGTGAAGTATGTTAAACACACTTTCATTAAGTATCAGTAGCATAACAGTTGGTAAAAATTGTTTGAACCCACGGAGAAACAATCTCACCTTACCAAGTTCGGTCTTCTTAAAATACAAGTAATTGTTTTCATATTAAATAATAGTAAAAAGTAATAAACCATAGTACATCCCAACAAAGCTGATACAACTTAAACAGTATAATGTAAAATTAATCAATCAAATCAGAGACAGCAAGAAGAAATGTGAAAAAGGCTAGAATAAATTCTAGATATTCCAGAATTTTAAAAAGTTTCCTCTTCATTTTAATTTCTCTTGGTGGAGGTTAAATTTACTAATCTCTCATTAATAAATTAACAAAGTCACTTTAAAAACTGAACTCACAACTCTGGTCCCAAATAATCGCCTTTTTACACTTATTGGGTAAATTACTCGCACTTTTCACTCAATAAATATTTATTGAGTACCTACTATGAGCCAGACTGCTCTTGGAACTGGAATGTCTTCACAGAAATGAAGCAAACACTGAAAATTGCTTTTCTTTATGGAACCTACATTCTACTGAGGAAGGAGCAAACAAACAATAAGCAAATAAATAAAATGCACCATATGTCAGTTTGATGATAACTGCTAGAGGGAAAAAAATAAAATAAGAAAGGTGGAAGGCAGACAGGAAATATGGGGCAAAAGAGAAACAGAGAGAGACAGAGAGCTTTTCAGAGGGCAGGAGGGTTCATGGTTGTGATTTTGAATACCCTAGTTACAAAGGCTTTATTTGGACGCTGGCACTTGAGCTAAGACCAGAAGGTGAGGAAGCAGACCACAGCTATGCATCTATTTGTTTTAACACTGTTTTTCTGTTGAATGTAGCATTTGAAGTGGGTCAATAGCTGAATAGCAAAATGATACTGTTTTTCTTTATAAGTCACTGTAATCAAACCAAAAAAAAATTTTAAAGACATTCCAATTATTTGTAACTTTGTGAATCTACTGTTGACATATCAGCCTTTTGAGGGAAAGTTTAAATGTTTACTTATTCCTTTATGTCACAAAACATTCATTTTTTAAAACTCCCCAAACATATATTTCAAGTGTAGAATTTTTTTTTTTTTTTTTTTTTTTTTTTTTTTTTTTTTAGTGTTAAGTGAGCCCAAATTTCATCATGGGCTAAAATTTTAAGACATGAAAATAGCTGCTGAAACTGAATTTTAATCATATAGATGAATCACAACATGCATCTTTAGCTAGGCATGTATTATGGATAAGTCTAGTTTTCTACAGAGAATAATCACATGCTCTAATTACCATTTTGGTTATACGCATAATTAATAATATTCTGTCTTAATGGGACACACTGAATCTTCAGACAGTTGCAAGCTTTAACTATGCATACTGCCAAATCCAACTGTCAGCTGCACTGCCAAACACAAAGGAATCTTGATGTAGTGTTTTAGCATTGATAACAATATGCATATCTTTATACATAATACCATGAAAAAATTAATTGCTTTTCTTTCTCCAAATTTTTCTCCACACAAATAATTTTATGTCACTTGATCATTTACCCTAAATTACATATATTGGCAAATGATCCTATGAACATTAAGAACATAAATGTAAGTGTAACCCAAGATTCAAGGAGTTATAAAAATTATAACAAGGACTTACTGATTGTAAACTTGCATTTTCACGTAAACAAGCTGTGTGAAGTTCTGATTTTAAGGCCACGATGTGACTTCGATGAGATGTCATTTCCTTCTCTAATGTTGTGATTCTAGTGCTTGCAAGCTGGTAGACATCCATGAAACTTTTAATCATAGCCTTAAGAAATAAAAATAATGTCACATATAATTCAAATAAATATGTCCCCAAAGGAGAATTTCCATAATTTGAAAGCAAAACCATTAAAATTTTAAAATAAACAACTTTTCATCTTTCTTTAAAATAATAAAGCTAAACTTCACATTTTATATTGAGAACAGTGACTATTTTAAGAAAGTTTGTGAGAAAATAATTGAGACTTCATTCCAGAGTATTTATTTAAATAAGATGTACTTTGATCTATTGAGCTTAAAATTTAGAATGTGGTTTCAAAAGATGGCATGGTTATTTTCTGTAGTAAAGTTAAATTCAAGTTGTAATTTGACCTAAATTTCAATCTTAAGAGAGGTGCAATCTTAATGGGTATACGAACAAGATATTTCAAAATAAGCTGAGTTAGTAAAATTTTTAATCCACCTAAAAAACAAATGTTTTGAAACAAAAGGAGTTAAAATAATCTTGTGATTTTTAAGAGTAAATGTGATTCTTATTTTGTAAGAAAAGTATAATTATGTTGATTCATGTAACACAGAAATGCCATCACACTGGACTATACATAATAAAACAATTAACATAAGCAAGTTCTGGTAACTTATTATCTCCTCTAAACAGTACCATATTTAGGGAATTGTTGGATCACACTTTAATAATATTTTATAGACTTTTTCTTCTAAAGCAATTTGTAATGAATTTTAAGTACAGGATACTATTATGCCTTTTTTAAAAGGCTTTCAAAATAACTCAAATATAGCAAAATAAATCCCATATTTCAAAGACATTTTCAAAAATAATATTATATTGTTTATAAGAAAAATGTTCCTACAATAGCCACAACTTAGTATAATGGTAGACAGTGTGAGAATTTGCAAATTACATTCTATCTTAAGGTTATGGATTAGGAAAGCTTTGAGAAATTATATATTTGAATAGTTGTGAATACATGTGAAAAATAATTTAGTGAACAAAGAAAGTGTAAGAAACAATGTAGAGAATGTATGTAAAATAGAGGTAAGTTAGTTACTTGCAGGTAAGTAAGAAAATTCAGATCTTTTGGCCTAATAAATTCTTATTTGCCCTCAAAAATCCAGCTCAGATCTTTTTCAAAAATCCTCTTGTGAGCCCAAAAAAGGCAGTGTTAACTTCTATCCTGTTTTTCTGTGGACCCTTCATGCCTGCTTCCACTGTTGCATTTATTGCTTTAGTAGAAATGTATTAGTTTACATGTTTATCTTCTTTACTAGACTGAGGAGCTACTTAAGGCCAGATACTGTGCCTATACCTATCTGGAGCTTCAGGGATAGTGAGTGCTTGTTTGAATGACTGCTTGAATTAACAACTGTTTTGAAGAATGAATGAATTAATTAATTAAAGAAGAATTAGAAAAGATAAAAACCATAAGATGAAACCATATATTGTTACAAAATACCTTCTAGGAAAGGGTGATGATGTTTGGGAAAGTACATAATCTTAACACCTAAACAAATGAATAAATTATTAATGATACTCTGTTCAAGTTGAAAAAAAGCAGAAGCATAACTATAGGCTAGGCATAAAAGGGTGAAGTACACAAATGGGAATTTATTAACCAACACTACATAAGCATTATATGACTTCTTACCTGGGAATATCTGACATATCCTAACCTATCTTCCTGTGAATCATTTCAAGGTAAGTTTACAGCTAATACTAATACAAAACATACCCCTGCATCTCAAAAGTATGTGAAAATCAGAAACTTGAATTACGTCTGTTTTTTCCTATGTCAAGTCTCTCTCAATTCTTTTAAATTCATGTATCTTCTCTATTGAGATAGTGAACCAGAAATCACAAGTCCTGGGGTTTTTTTCTTTTTTCTGATTCTTACTTTGATTCAACTCTATGTTGTTGGGAAATGCCACATAATCCCTCTGAGCCTCCATCTCCTCCCTCTATAAAATGAGAAAAAAGAGTCGTTTTCTTGTCTACTTCCAAAACTGTCGGAAGGCTCAGAAAATTAAAATAGCTAATGTTTATTAGGTATTTACTGAAGTGTAGGGACCATGTAAGCATATTACATGCTTAATTTCATTTATCTTTACAGTAACCAAATGGAGTAGATACATTTTTAACCTAGCTTTTCAGAGCAAAACACAAGAGCTTGGAGGGATTAAACAACTAGCCCAAGTTTACAATTAGTTGGATAATAGTCAGGATACAAATCCAAGTATTTCTCATGCAAACACATTCCTTAACCCTTCAACTATATTGCATTTAATATAAGAAAGCACTCTAAAAATGGTAAACTATTGAATTTCATTGTAGTATTATTACTATTATTCTATTTTCAAATTATCCATTAAAATATAAATGAGACATTCTGAAATATATGGTTCTTATATATATACTTTTATTGTCTAAGGACCTAAAATGTATAAAAGGCTGAAACATGCATAAATGCTTATTGAATGATAAGAAAGTTCCCTTCCATCAGTAATGGGCTCCTGGATTATTATTTCACTGTAAGTCACAAGAGAATTGGCCTTTAATATTTTAGGATTAAAAGTTCCACATTTTAAAAGTTATCCCATTTTCTAAACTTGGAGAAACACATTTTATGAATTTCATCTTTATGACATTCTAAAAGGAATAAATAATACAAATGATATTCCATCAAATCTCCCTTTAAAAATAAATTTTTTGAGAAGTAATGTCAGAAATTTTATGTAGTGGATAACTCTTCCTTGATCTACTTTTAATAACTAAATTCTAATATTCAGTGAAATATTAACATAAACCACATATTACTTCTTTATAACACTAAAAAGAATATAATAATCCAATTTTTCTCAGGATTTCAAATCTTAAACATTCCAACTCTCTTAAAGTAATATTTTCATTTGAGAGACAAAATAAAATTTGTATAATAGTGCATATGATACTTTTTCAGAGCAGCAAGATACAATGATCAATACAGAAAGCATGTTTCATGTTACTAATATGTATAAAATATACTATGCTCTTCTAAACAAAAGTCTCCTTCAAAATTTGAAGGTATGAGGAGTATCACTGAAAAGGCAATTATTCAAAGAAGCCACAGTTCTTTTGAAGAATAAAGAATGTTAACTTCCAGTATTAAAAAGTGATTCAAACTATATAGCAAAACATACCAATGAAAAATTCAACTCTTTAATACAAAAGAAAGGTGTCAAGTTGGTACAAGAAATGGAAATGACAATCTGAATTAACTGAGGGAGTAGAAGAAAGAGGGAGTAAGCATCTACTGACCCTTGTATCAGTCTCCTAAAGTCTAACCCTCTACAACATATTCTGTTCCTTTATTAAAAGATCACATTATTTTACATTAGGAAACAATGATAGAACAGCATGATATTATATACAGCAAGTCCAGGATTTGAGAATTTATCCTATTGTCATCCTTGACCCGAGGGGGTTATTTTGACTATACTATGCAGTGAGAGCTGTATTTCAGTGGGACTCAGCTAGTATATGAAGAACAAAAGACAGTTTCTGAACAAGAAGAACTTTTGTTTTAGAGATAATCTATAGTATCTATAATTGACAGTAACAAGATGAGGGAATTTCAAACATAAAATTCCACATCTATCCATTTTTTAAAAGTATATGTGCATTAAAATATAAAAAGTTATGAGATACAAACAAGTGCACATCACTTGAAGACTAGAACATCATTTATATAATTTGTTATGTACATATTATTAAGTAGTTTAGACTGACATCAAATTTGAACACCAGGAACAATGGGATTATTGGGGACCTGATACTAAGAGAAGAAGAAATTAGTGGAAAATATCATAAAGCCTACATGCCAAAATATCAAATCTTTTATCTACATTTTTGAGTAAATGGAAAGCAAAAACCTCTAACATTTTGACTTTAATTCATATAATTACAAACACACTTCATTTCTATATCTTATGTAAATATATTGTGTAAAACACATATGCCAGATATACTAAATATGTGAAATGTAATATGTTCTCACAAAATTAGGATAAAAATTCATACCTTATAACATTTTATAGAAATTAAATGAGTATTAATATGTGAAATGAGCTTAAACTACCTGGCATATAATAAACCCTCAGGTAAATATTATCTGTAATAATGATATCAAATTACTATTTTAGCTCATAAAAGAAGGTTTCAGTATTTCTGAGAGGTGTAAATTATTAGATATAATATGAATATTTTAAATATAAAATATTTAAATATTTAATATATGTCTCTTTGATAATAAAAGTTACTATTTATTATGTCATTCCTAAGGAAGAAGATCTCACAATGATAACATGGTTACGCTCAACAAAATACTAGCAAATAGAATCCAACAGCACATCAAAAATATAATACACTATAATCAGGTGAGATTTATTGCAGGAATGCAAGGATGGTTCAATATATGTAAATCAACAAACATGATACATCACATAAACAGAATTAAGGACAAAAACCATATGATCATCTCAATAGATGCAGAGAAGGCATTTGGTAAAATTCAGTATATCATCATGATAAAAATCTTCAAAGAGCTAGGCAGAGAAGGAATAGGCCTCAACATAATAAAGGGCCTATATGACAAATCCACAGTCAACATTATACTTAATGAAGCAAAGTTGGAAGCATTCTAAGAATTGGAACAAGAAAAGGATGTCCACTTTTTGCCACTTTTATTCAACACAGTACTGGAAGTCCTTGACAAAATAATCAGGCAAGAGGAAAAAATAACACATATCTTAATTGGAAAAGAGGAAGTTAAATTATCTCTGCTCACTGATGATATATTCTTCTATCTGGAAAATCCTAAAGAATCCACCAAAAAACACTTAGATTTGATAAATGCAGTAAAGTTTCAGGATGCAAAATTAATGTACAGAAATCAGCAGCATTTCCATAAACCCATAATAATCTCCATAATAATCTACTTGAGGACCAAATCAAGAAGGCTATCCAATTTACAATAGCTACAAAAAAAAAAAAAA